AGTTGGGACCGGTGAAATTTATTAATTTATAGAGATTATTAATTTATCGAGTATTAATTTATAGAGATTCTACTGTACTAAAAAACTAAATAGATATAGAAAGATTTACACACTGGGTCACATTCTGTGTTTGTGTAACAGAATGGGTCAGTTTGGGCTCCATAGGCACTTTATCTATGTTAAAAGTCTAGAGTGGCCTTGAAACCCAAAACAAAGGTTTGTTTAGTTAGTGTTTCTCGTTAGGTTTAATTTTTTTTTGAAATTCAAATATTTCTGTTTTTCATTAGGTTGGTTCCATCTAATTTATTTCTCTATTTCCCGTGACGTTTTGTTTTCCCCAATCTAGGCGATTGCGACGGCGAAGCGAAAGACGACGAAGTAGAAAGCGACGGCGAGGAGATTTCAAACCGGAGTGGGACTTCCGATGACGACAACGCGGAGGCGCGATGGAAAACAACAAGTATCGGGTGAGATTCCCGACATTTTACTTTCATTCTATTTGTCTGTGGATTATCCGATAATTTGTTTCCTTTATAACAGCATTGGTATTAGTCCGAGTAGTTTGTATTTGTAGAGAAATTATGGTCCAAGGTTACTATTTTGTCGTTTTTTTTTTGTCGTTTTTTAAGTTGCTCTGTTTTGTTACTTTGCAGAGGATTTAGACGTAGCAGATGGCCCAGATGAGAGGTTACCGGTGAGGCTTTTTGCGACAGACAGATATCCAAGCAGGCGTCTTAACGTCTGTTCGCGAGTGGAGTACCTTTTGGTGGTCAGGGATGTTTTGAAAGGGTCTCCTGAGATGGATAAGTTACTGAATTCCTGTTTTGGAGTGCTCTTTAACCTCCCGGTTCGTGGTGTAGTTATTCTTCAGTGATGATCCACGCGATGTTGGCAAGGCAGGTGGTTACAAAGAAAAAATATGAAGCTTGGCCAGTGTTTGGAGGGGAACCACTTCGTTTTTCTCTGGTGGAATTTGAGAACATCACAGGGCTGCCGTGCGGTGAGTTTGAGGATGGGTATGTACCTGATTTCCAGCCATCGTACAAAGAGGAGGATTATGTTTACTGGGATAAGTTGTTCGATGGCAAAAGGGACATAACGATTCCAGAAGTAGTAAAGATGGTGGTTGAGGACTAACGTCTTTCACGATCAAGGAAGCTGAAGTTGTGTTTGGTTATAATTGTTGATGGTGTCTTAATTGCGTCTTCTCTGCCACCTCGTCCTCTAGTGAAGCATGTAAAGCTAGTTGAAAGCGTGAAGAAGTTCTTGGAGTTCCCGTGGGGCAGGGAGTCCTTTTATTGGACTATCAGCAGCATGATTCCTGGGAAGAGGATCACTAGCAAATGTGATGATCCCGTAGGAGAGTATTGCATGAAGCTTAGGCAAAAGACGAAGAAAATGTCAGGATTCCCATTGGCTCTACAGCTTTGGGTGTACCAGTCGGTTCCTCAATTGTTGGGAAGGCTTGCCGGTGATGATGAGCTGAAGATTATAGACTGCAAAAGGCTTCCACAGCACACCGGACTCAACCTTGTTGACGTTTTAGCTGCTGAATTCCATCCCGAGGTAAAGTGTTTAGTTGATGTTGCTTTTCGTGTACAAAAAATTGTGGGCGTACAGCTGTACTTTGAAGGTTTAATACAATTTGTTTCCGTGTTGTTAGGGTGTACATTTGTACAACCATATTGAATTTAGTTAATGTTGCTTTGTTTTACATTTCCGTTGATTAATGTATTTTTTCCCCCTGTTTGCAGTTAAAGGTGCAGCCAAAGATGGAGGTGGGTGATGACAAACCTGAAGGTTGGGGGGTGTGGGATGATGAGATAGAAGACAGGAGAGTGAAGTACATGATTGGTCTTATTGAAGCTGGACATACATTCAAGAAGTCCGATTGGGGTGGAGGTGATGCTACGGAGGTTTTGTATAACCATGCTGAGTATCTCAGAAGTCTGGCGGCAGCAAAGAAAAGAAAGAGGGAGGTTGCAAATGGGAAGAGGATAATTGCTGGACAATCCGTAATGAAACAGAAGAGGCTAAGTACTTATTTCAAGAAACCTCGAGTGGAGGATGATGATAGGATCAAGGAACTTACAGATCGAGTAGAGCGGCTAGAGAAGTTGGTAGAGATTCTAAGGAAGAAACAACGTAGGAGGAAGAAGTCAGGATTCACCCCTAGGAAGGATGTTTTCCTCAGTTTACATGGGAAGAAGAAAAAAGTGGTGAAAAGTCCTGAGTATAGTGGGGATCACACAATGTATGGCGATGATAGCCGTCGTGGAGAAGGTTTCATAGGTGGAATCCTTGCATTTGATGTTGGGGAGAGCAGTGCTCCTGATTTGGTAGGAGAAGATTTAGGGGGACATGCCCGAAGATTGAAAGATGAGAGTAGTCAAGATGAAGAGCCTGTGGATGCTATGCCAACAGAGGTTGAGCCTATGGATGAGGAACATTTGGAACCTGAGGCGAAGGATAGTGAGTCAGGTGGGGCTGTTGAAACTAGGACAGCAAACGAGGGTAACAATGATGCTGTGGAGGAAGAGGGTGATGGTAGTGAGTCATCTGGGCCGGCTGACGTGGTCATACCACTTAAGGAAGGTGATGGTGTTCCAAGACAGTGGGTTGTTGAAGGAGTGAAAGGTTATAGTGGTGCTACACTTTACCGGGCTACGACTAGTAACACATTTTACGTAACAGATGAGGAGGTACGTGAAAATATTTTTTTGGTAGGTGTTTGTGTATAATTTTTTCAGTTCCATATTGATAACTCATTTTTTTGGGTTCAGGGTTCGACAGGTCATAATATTTCTGGTGGTGCTTTGGTTTTAACTGAGGAGGTTAGTTGTGGTTTGATCAATGTTTTGCCTGGCTTAGGTGTTATTTACTGGGTGTGTGTGTTTTGCAGGGATGTTCTAAAGGTTCTGTGGGAGAGGTTTCTGAGAGTGGTAATGTGACAACCCAAAAATGTGGGGAGGTAAATTCCTTCTTTTCTTTGGTGCTTGTTTGATGATTTTCAATGTAGTTGTTTCTAATTTTTGGTGGTTGTTAAGGATGTTAGTGGACTAGACAAGCTGATAGGGGCGATAGTGAAGGAACTTGGTGAAACATCTGCAGATGGAGAGAAGGAAGCAGATGTTGGGGAATGCAACAAGGTATAGTGTACATGTGTACGGGGAGTTGAATTTAGTGTACGCTTGTACTTAGCCTATTTAGAGTACATGTGTACTCCTGTGTTTAATGTACTTATGTACCCCTTACTTGGTAGCAGTTTAATTTTTTTTTTTTCGACACCGTGTATAGTCGCAACTGGGAGGCGTTGATGCGATTGCAGAGCGTAGTGACGAGGATGGTCAGGATGAGGGGGCGCAGGTCTGTTTTTTTTTGTCTTTTAAGACATTGATTAATATGGATTTGATGATGAGTTTTTTGTGTTGGTAGGTTCTGAACGCTGAATTGGGTGCGAATGAGAGAGTTACATGTCTGAGTGACTCCTCACCAGTTGAACGCACTGAGAAACATAAGCCAGAAGAGTTGGAAGGGAATCTGGCTGCTCTATTGTTGGCGAAGGCACCGTTTAAACTGGCAGAGATCGTTCCGCCAATGGAGGACCCAGACTTTGTTTTTTTTTGAGCAAGTGCTGATGTCAAATCCCAAAGTGTGAGTGTGGTAATTTAAATTTTGTTTTGTTATGGAATATTTCTTATAAATGGGTGAGTATGATTTGTTGCAGATTGCATTTAGGAGCTGGTAACTACAATTTGGACAATGAGTTTTCTTAGATCTGGCAACTCCACAGAAGTGGGTTTCGAGCAAGGTAATTGGCTTGGATTTTTTTTTTTTTTTTAAATGGGAATGGCTGATCCGTGATTTTGAAACTGGGCCTTTTTTTTGTTGGTTTACTTGGCAGCATACTGAGGTTTTGGTAGACTTTATTAGCCAGAGGAATCATGAGCTATTGGCGGAGAACCGGGCTATGTTTGTCGCACCATGGTTTATGGACCGCCTAGCTAGCAAAGCGAGGGGCTTTAATGCTGCAACCTACAAGGGTAGAGTGTTCTCTGACCCAAAGCTTGCGAGTTTTTTGACTGCTGACGGGAAGAAGCTTGGTGTGGATGTTGACAAAGTTTTTGCACCCATGTTTTGGGGGACGAACCACTGGGTGGGACTGCGGATAAGCATAGTGGACTGGAGTGTTCTTGTGTATGATCCAGATAGAAGCCTTAGACCATTTGATGCTGTGATTCGTATAATGGGTCCTATAGGTAAGATGCTACCTTACTTAGTGCGCAAGGTTTGCCCCCCAGAGCATTTGACGGGGCATGGGCTAGAACCATTTTCGATCCAGCTGATGGCGGATGGATATCTGAACACTCGTAGTGGGGACTGCGGACCAGTTGCTATGAAATTTATGGAGTTGGCGACATCTGAGGTTGAGGAGCCGGAGATTGAGGACTTGACAGACGAGTTGGTTGACTATTTCCGTAAGCAGTTTGCCATTGACGTGTACAAGGAGTGGATAGTTCCCTTGTACATGGGGGCGTTGAACTAGATATGAATGTTGATTTCTTTTTTTTTGTTGAACTTAAGGGGTTAGTATTTTGTTGTGTAAGATTTGTTACTGCCCATGTAATGTATTGAAACATTGTGTACTCGATGACTATTAAGTGGAACGGATCAGAACTTTTGATGTTTAATTCGTTTGTGTCAGAGTACATATGTACAAATAGTTTTATGAATATGTAAGGACAGATGAGTACGAGGGCAGTTAGGTGTACAGATGTACACTATTAAGAAAGTGGGTCATCTATGAGTTAGATGTACAACGCCCGAACATAACATGATATCTGATTAGTAGGAGTACGTAGATTAGTATGGGAATCGTAGAACAATACAAGGTGGGTAAGAAAATTACAAGACAAGGTGGGTAAGAAAAGAAAAATACATAGAAGTAGACAAGTGGAGGTCAGAGAACTTAGGCCAGAACATTATGTTTAAGAGCCAAACTAGAGGAAGACCTTGTAGCAAAGGAAGAGGACAATCAAACAGACGACCATGTTTCTGAAGCCTTTTAATTCCATTTTGAGACCTTGGATGTCCTGATCAAATGCAGAGAGCCTAGCTTCTAACCGATGAACGAGTGTGGAGGAGGTGCGGCTTTCTAGTGTAATAGATTGTATTAGACTGGTGGAGTTTCTTAAGCGCTTGCCATTTTCTGCAATAGCTGATTCAAGGTCGAGAATCTTTGGTTTTAGATCCTCTATCTCTTCAACCATCGATTCATCTGTCCATTTGAAAACATGTGACCGATTTTGCTACAGAGAAGACATTAGGAATATAAATAAGTTATAAATAATTATGATAAGGAGTAAAATTGTTGATTTGAGGACAAGCATTGAAAACCTCGTTGCCGAAGGGGCAGCTGTGAAATAGCCTTCCGGGGTTGTTTTTGGTGCGAGATGTATTTCTTGAGACCCGTGCACCGCAGTTACAGTGGGCCGGGATTCCGCGGATTGTGTTTACCATAATGAGGAGGCGATTTCTTTTGGGGAAAAAGGAGAAGGAAGATGAACCCTAATTTTGGATTAGGGATCGTGTTGTTTGGGTGATTTAAAGGGGTTGGGGATATATTCCAATACGACGCCGTATCGGAGCTGGTAAACATTGGAGTAGGCGAAAGTGGGGGCCCAGCTCAGTTAATAGAAGAGGTAACTGTGGTAGAGTATTTTTAGTGGCTGTACACTATTATGTCTTGAGTACAGCCGCTACGTTGTACATGTGTACAAACACTGAATGATTGCGAACATGAAAAAAACAAAACTAACAGAAGGGTTGTTTTTTAAAAGAAGGATCAGTTTAAACATGTTCACAGTTGTTTAAGACATGTTACACCAAAAAGGTTACAGAAAAGGTACAAAAGCACTGATCCGGGGTGAATTTGCTATCCAAAAGGCTGGAGCTTTGGATATAAGATTCACCAATTTCAGATTGGGCGTACACAACGAGTACGATTATGGCCGGTGCCACCGCAGCGGCCACATTTGTTGGGAACTTGTTTGGTCTTCTTTGGAACCTGAGGAAACGTAAAGCATAAAAATGTTAGTGAACCTCTTGGATAATAACCGCTGGTTATTTTAAGATGGTGTAGATAGGTACCTGAATCTCTCCTGTGGATAGTTTTATTTTTTCCTGAGGTCGACCAGAGGGGCGACGGGTTTGAGGAGGGTGGATATTAAGATCTGAAATGGCTTTAGGGATTTGGTGGTCGCCAAAGGTAGCTTCTGGGAGAATATAGCCATTGTAGGTTTCTATCCAGGACTGTGTCTTGTAGCATTCACCAACCAATTGGTTGTAGGGGAGACCAGCCGAGTCAGCTGCAAATAGAGCATGGCCACAAGGGATTTTAAGTTTTTGGAAGACTTGACAAGAACAAACCTTGGTATCAAGGTGCACAGTGTTCCCGTGACCAAAAAGACCCCGAACTGAATAGCTCCACTCTTTGGATTGAGAAATCTTGCTTCCTTTTGTCAGTTTGATATGTGTCTGAATGACCTTATCGACCTCAGGTGTGACAAGACCTCTGTGTTTCAATGATTTAGTCCTCCTGGCTGAGAACCACCTGGTTAGCATGCGTTGAATGAACATGAACATCTCAACAATTGGGGAAGCTCGGGATTTGGAGATGGCATTGTTCAACTGCTCTGCAACGTTGCTAGTGAGAAGATTGTAGCGGTTACCAGGGAAGTAGGTGGGAGACCATTTAGCAGTCCATATGTCTTCTAGGTATTTGTGGCAGGCTGCATTTGCCATTTTTATTTTGTCGAAGTGTTTATCAAAATCCTTCCTCTGAAAAGAGAATGCAGCCTCGCATACCATCTTAGCAAGTCCTATGTTTTTGTACCTGGAGAAAACATTCCTCATTATGTGAACAATACATGCTCCGTGATGTGCCTTGGGAAAAACCTGATTTTTTGGCTTTAATGAGACAGACATGTCGATCAGATATGAAATAATAAATTATTTTATATTTTAGGATTATTTTGTATATGTTGTGTGAGATATTTCAGAATTTAAAATTTGCTTACCCATATAAATTGTTGTTAATATTTGTATTTTAATAATCAATGCACATATGTGAATTGTTTTTAACTTTATACTTAAGGCCACAAAAAATATTCATAAGTTTAAACCGAGTCTAATTCAATTTAAGAATTATAGTGAAATAAAAAAAAATTGAAAAGTTAAATAAGGTCAATCAAGTTAATGACAATATCATACACATATCATACACTTGTTATGTACCAATTCAAAGTTTGTTTTATTTGAAGTTAAATATGTTACCCGTCTGCGATTCCGTTTAGGATCTCGGTGGTAGGAGTTTCTACCCAGTTCTGGACAGCTCAGACATTCCAGAGTATAGGTGATGCAATAGGAGAGACTACGGACGTGGATTTGGATTATGGCAAGATACGGGTGATCCTAGAAGGCTTCAAAGAACTCTGCTTCGAAACCACGGTCGATTTTACAGGTGGGGAATTCTATGAAGGTGAAGAGGTACCAGTTACTCTCAAGTATGAGAATTTATTTGGGTATTGCAAGCTCTGTTATAGTCTATGCCATGATGAGAGTCTTTGCCCTCTAAGTACTAAGATTCCAGGGCAGAAGAAGGAATCTATAGATAACATGACGAGTAGGACGGAAGATCGTGCGCGTAGCTACAAGGGGGTGGTTCTGAATGGTGAAGTGATACACCAAGACAATACAAGAGACACAAGAGGCTACCATGAAAAAGGAAAAGGAAAGATGCACGATGAGTAGGAGGCTAAATGGGTCAAGGTTCTTGAGCGAGGGAATAAGAGATCTTACTCTAGCCGCGGTACCAACAGATTTAAGGAAGGGAGTACAAGGCACAAGAGTTCATGTTGGGAGAAACCAAGGTATTACCACCAGGAGGTGAGGTCTCAGGAAGGCAGGAATTGTCCATCACATGATTCTAGAAGAGATCAGGGCCATTTGGGTAATGTCTGTGAGGAGACAAAGGAGGAAGGTGAAATAAAAAACAATAAAGGCGAGAAGCAGGGTGCTCAACAGGAGGAGTCTTCATCAGTGTCACTCAGGGTTTCACCAAAGCACCAGGACCACAATGTTATCTCCAATACAGATGTCAAGGTAATTACTAATCCTATGGAACTGGAGAATGGCCTAGGGACTGAGGAAAATAAGTTAGAGAATGAGGTTAGGGATTTTGGTGATGCGGGAATTAATGCTGAGGATACTAAGGGATTTACATGTGGGGAGGAGGATTTTGAAAACCTAACTGATGCCGAGATGGAGGAGTTAGATAATTTCCAGGAGGACGCATGTGATATAACTGAGGGTGCAGCTCAGCCAGTGGGAACATGGGACCAAGAACTCTTCCAGGGTAACAAGGAGAAGAAGAAAGGATCACGTAGAGCACTTTTCACACAATCCATGCTGGTAGTAAGCACTTCCAAGAAAAAAGAATGCTGGAAAGATAGGTAAGAAGCAGGGTGACATCACAAGGAAGAAGGAGGATAAGGGTCCCTCACACCCTAAGCCTTCTCTTCCAAAAATTAAGTTACAGTCATGGTTTTTCTGTCCTTTGAAGACTTGAAGTGTGACTTTGCAGGGGGGTTTGGCGATTTGATTTTGGTGTTTTTGTTATTTTTGTTGTTCTTGGGTCTATTAATAAGCTGTACGAGCATTCTTATGTTTTTTGTTTCTGTCTTTCTGTGGCTTTGGATGGACCTTTTTATTGTTGGTTGCCATGTTTATAAATCATGGCTTTGGAATAAAATTGGTTATATTGTTGTTTACTTCTTGGAAGTATGGAAATGTTATTATTGGTGTGAGTCATGGATCAATAAGAGTAGATTGGCACTCTCTTTTTTGGAAGCAAATATTATTCTTGATTTGAATTCAACAAGTTCATCTGGAGCAAGGGAACATGCCGGTTATGTTATTTCCAGGGTTAGTCACGGTGCCTATGATTAACGTATACGGTTCTTGTATCAGGAATAAAGTAAGGATCTTAGATACATCTTTGGGAGGTTTAAATAATTACATAGGAACAAAAGCTACAATACAGAAAACGGGCTTCTTATATTCATTGGAAGTCATTTGGAGTGCATGGGAATGTAGTTGGCGCTTGTGTACTCTTTTTTTGTTTTTATTGAAACTTCTTAGCAGTGACACCAGAAGTATATTCACGCTATTGGATGAGCAGAAGATGCAATGTCGAGAAATATGGGTTATATATTTATTATGGGTAATATATCTAAGGATGAGAATATCTCAGAGCTCTTTATCTCCTCAGACACTAGCTCTGCTGAGCTTTTAAAAAAAAACTTCATATATGAAATTCTTAGTTGGAATTGCCGTAGAATGGGGAGCAAGTGGACAATAAACTATCAGAGAAATATGACACAAGCATAGATCAGAAATTTTATTCTTGTCTGAAACAAAACAAGATTTTGAGTTTGTGCAAAAATTTTAAACCCATTTTGGTTTTGATAGTTTAGTTACGGTAAACCCAATTGGAAAGAGTGGAGGCTTAGCTCTTTTTTATAACAATGAGTATCAGGTTAATGTTCTTTATTCTAGTAATCAAATGATTGATGTGGAAGCCGTGGTAATGGGGAAATCAGTTTTTTTAACCTTTGTCTATGGTGACCCGGTTCAGAAACTAAGGGAACAAGTTTGAGAACGTCTAACTAGATATGGGATATCGAGATCCAAACCATGGTTTGTTATTGGAGACCTAAATGAAATAACTGGCAATCATGAAAAAGAAGGAGGACCTTTACGTAGTGCAGACTCTTTCGTCCCTTTTAATAACATGATAAGAAATACCGGGTTATTGGAATTTCCAGCACGGGGAAATATAATGTCATGGCAAGGACGACGTGGAAAGGGGAAGGGGGCAGTAATGGTTAGATGTCGATTAGACCGAGCTTTAGCAAATGAAGATTGGCATACACTCTTTCCAGATTCTCACACGGAATATTTAGGTATGGTGGGGTCAGATCACCGCCCACTAGTGTATTTTACAGAGGAAAAAGTACTGAAACGAAAAGGAGAATTTCGATTCGATAAGAGTTGGATTGGACAAGAAGGTCTTATCAATTCAATAGCTATGAGATGGTCAAGAAATACTGGAAGGGTTATGGAGGATTTTGTTACAAAGATTGGCCATTGTCGTCATGAAACCGCGAATGGCGGAAAAATAATCCGCCATATGGGAAAGAAAAGATTAGTGAAATTCAAAAATCTCTTGAGGAGGTTCAGACAGACAATAATAGGTCTCAAGAGGACATTATAGAGGTATCTAAGAAATTACAGAAGGCATACATGGATGAAGAAGAATACTGGCATCAGAAAAGTAGGAACATGTGGAATATGGGGGATCTTAATACCAATTTCTACCATGCTTTAACTAAACAATGACGAGTTCGCAATAGAATTGTGGGACTCCATGATGAAGAGGGAAATTAGATTACAGAGGA